GCGTCGGGAAACTGAAAAGGCTCACGTGATATATTCGCGATATTCTGCGTCGAAAAAATTCAATTCGCGGGTAGGAATGCGATCGACTATACTGATATTATTCCACGCTAACCGAGCGTGATGACGATGATTAGGGAGCCAACGCGTCGCGTCGGGAAACTGAAAAGGCTCACGTGATATATTCGCGGTATTCTGCGTCGAACGAATTCAATTCGCGGGTAGGAATGCGATCGACTATACTGATATTATTCCACGCTAACCGAGCGTGATGACGGTGATTAGGGAGCCAACGCGTCGCGTCGGGAAACTGAAAAGGCTCACGTGATATATTCGCGATATTCTGCGTCGAAAAAATTTAATTCGCGGGTAGGAATGCGATCGACTATACTGATATTATTCCACGCTAACCGAGCGTGATGACGGTGATTAGGGAGCCAACGCGTCGCGTCGGGAAACTGAAAAGGCTCACGTGATATATTCGCGATATTCTGCGTCGAAAAAATTCAATTCGCGGGTAGGAATGCGATCGACTATACTGATATTATTCCACGCTAACCGAGCGTGATGACGATGATTAGGGAGCCAACGCGTCGCGTCGGGAAACTGAAAAGGCTCACGTGATATATTCGCGGTATTCTGCGTCGAACGAATTCAATTCGCGGGTAGGAATGCGATCGACTATACTGATATTATTCCACGCTAACCGAGCGTGATGACGGTGATTAGGGAGCCAACGCGTCGCGTCGGGAAACTGAAAAGGCTCACGTGATATATTCGCGATATTCTGCGTCGAAAAAATTTAATTCGCGGGTAGGAATGCGATCGACTATACTGATATTATTCCACGCTAACCGAGCGTGATGACGGTGATTAGGGAGCCAACGCGTCGCGTCGGGAAACTGAAAAGGCTCACGTGATATATTCGCGATATTCTGCGTCGAAAAAATTCAATTCGCGGGTAGGAATGCGATCGACTATACTGATATTATTCCACGCTAACCGAGCGTGATGACGGTGATTAGGGAGCCAACGCGTCGCGTCGGGAAACTGAAAAGGCTCACGTGATATATTCGCGGTATTCTGCGTCGAACGAATTCAATTCGCGGGTAGGAATGCGATCGACTATACTGATATTATTCCACGCTAACCGAGCGTGATGACGGTGATTAGGGAGCCAACGCGTCGCGTCGGGAAACTGAAAAGGCTCACGTGATATATTCGCGATATTCTGCGTCGAAAAAATTTAATTCGCGGGTAGGAATGCGATCGACTATACTGATATTATTCCACGCTAACCGAGCGTGATGACGGTGATTAGGGAGCCAACGCGTCGCGTCGGGAAACTGAAAAGGCTCACGTGATATATTCGCGATATTCTGCGTCGAAAAAATTCAATTCGCGGGTAGGAATGCGATCGACTATACTGATATTATTCCACGCTAACCGAGCGTGATGACGGTGATTAGGGAGCCAACGCGTCGCGTCGGGAAACTGAAAAGGCTCACGTGATATATTCGCGGTATTCTGCGTCGAACGAATTCAATTCGCGGGTAGGAATGCGATCGACTATACTGATATTATTCCACGCTAACCGAGCGTGATGACGGTGATTAGGGAGCCAACGCGTCGCGTCGGGAAACTGAAAAGGCTCACGTGATATATTCGCGATATTCTGCGTCGAAAAAATTTAATTCGCGGGTAGGAATGCGATCGACTATACTGATATTATTCCACGCTAACCGAGCGTGATGACGGTGATTAGGGAGCCAACGCGTCGCGTCGGGAAACTGAAAAGGCTCACGTGATATATTCGCGATATTCTGCGTCGAAAAAATTCAATTCGCGGGTAGGAATGCGATCGACTATACTGATATTATTCCACGCTAACCGAGCGTGATGACGGTGATTAGGGAGCCAACGCGTCGCGTCGGGAAACTGAAAAGGCTCACGTGATATATTCGCGGTATTCTGCGTCGAACGAATTCAATTCGCGGGTAGGAATGCGTTCGACTATACTGATATTCGCATTTTCTCAATATGTGTTATTGGAGACGGTGGCACATTCGCAACCATTAGGTTAGGTTGCATGGTGCAGAAGAAAAGAAGAGTTTGCAATGAAGACGAGAACGATGCCAATGAGAAGAGAATGCTGTAGAACAGCGAAGAAAGCGCGGAAGAAAAGAAAAACTCAACGGAATTGTCAACGTGACGGAAGAAGAATAGGGATTGTCCCAGAAGAGGAAAGAGTAGGATTTCCAATGGAGAAGACAATGCGGCACTGCTGCAAAGACCAGCTGCTTCTGAAGACAAACAGAGAAGGAAGAAGACAAGCGGAGAAGGAAGAAGACAAACGGAGAAGGAAGAAGACAAACGGAGAAGGAAGAAGACAAACGGAGAAGAAAGAAGACAAACGGAGAAGGAAGAAGACAAACGGAGAAGGAAGAAGACAAACGGAGAAGGAAGAAGACAAACGGAGAAGGAAGAAGACAAACGGAGAAGGAAGAAGACAAACGGAGAAGGAAGAAGAGAAACGGAGAAGGAAGAAGACAAATGGAGAAGGAAGAAGACAAACGGTGAAGAAAGAAGACAAACGGAGAAGGAAGAAGACAAAGGGAGAAGGAAGAAGACAAAGGGAGAAGGAAGAAGACAAACGGAGAAGGAAGAAGACAAACGGAGAAGGAAGAAGACAAACGGAGAAGGAAGAAGACATACGGAGAAGGAAGAAGGCAAACTGGGAAGGAAGAAGACAAGCTGGGAAGAAAGTCGACAAACCGAGAAGAAAGATGACAAACGGAGAAGACTGAAGACAAACGGAAAAGAAAGAAGACAATCGGAGAAGAAAGAAGACAAACGGAGAAGGAAGAAGACAAACGGAGAAGAAAGAAGACAAACGGAGAAGGAAGAAGACAAACGGAGAAGGAAGAAGACAAACGGAGAAGAAAGAAGACAAACGGAGAAGGAAGAAGACAAACGGAGAAGGAAGAACACAAACGGAGAAGAAAGAAGACAAACGGAGAAGGAAGAAGTGGTTAGGACCCTGCAGTTAGGACGAAGAAGAGTACGCTCTGAAAGACTGAAGCAGGAGACAGAAAAGAAGATAAATGCTACAATATGGAAGGGAACACGGCAGAAGAGGAAAGAAGAGAAGAAGCTCCATAGCATCGAAGATCGTAGATGCCAGGTTGTTGTTTTTGATGGAGATTTATTTCTGAGATCTGTTTTAGGGTCAGCGACGGAAGCGGGGATATTGGAGAAGAGAAGTGGAAGCTACAGAACGGAAAAAGAAGCCGCGGAACAGAAGAGGGGAGGCTGCAAAACAGAAGAGGAGGCAGCAGTGGAAGCACCGGAAGCAGTAGTGGAGTCACCGGATGTAGCAGTGGGCAAGCAGTACAGGAGGCATAGGACACAGCAGCGAAGATTGCAGATGCCAGGGTGTAGTCTTTGGTGGAGATTTATTTCTGAGATCTGTTTTAGAGCCAGCGAGGGAAGCGGGGATATTACAGAAGAGAAGTGGAAGCTACAGAACAGAAGAGGAAGCTGCGGAACAGAAGAGGACGCTGCAGAACAGAAGAGGAGGCCGCAGAAGAGAAGAGGAATTTATAGAACAGAAGTGGATGCGGCAGAACAGAAGCCAATGCAGCTGAAGAGAAGGGGTCGCAGCAGAATAGAAGAGAACGTAGCAGAACACAAGTGGACATTGCAAGTGAACACAAATTTCGATGGCAGCACATAAGACAGTGGCAGTAGCAGAAAAAAGAAGATAAGTATCTATTTCAATTTTATTTGATCTTAGTTATTTATTTATTTCTTATTTCTTATTATTTATTTCGGTTTTTTTTATTTTCTCCTTTTCTAATACTTATTTTTGTGTGTTTCAGGAGTTGAGATCGACGGTATTTTAGCATATTATCAACGTATGTGTGTGCCTGTGTTTGTTTCAGATTAGAAAAATTTTGGACGCGGATGATCATGAACACGAAGAGTTTATTGGTTCTCGTTTTGCACTTGTTTTTGTTGTCTCTTATATCGTCTTTGTCATTTCGTTTAATGATGTTGGGTTCCTTATTGGCAGTGCCGAAGAAATGTTGCTGAACAACAACGTTGGAATCACTTTTTAGCTTCTAGTTAGGGAGGATTTAATCTGTAAAAAACAATGGTTTGTACGAAATTTTGAAATGGGTAAAACGGCATTATTATTGCACTGAGGTTGTATCTTAGCTTTTTATATAGGTAGGTCACAGTGTGGAAATGATTGTTGAAAATGGTTTAGCTTTTAGATAGGGAGGATTTAAGTTGTAAAAAACAATGGTTTGTACGAAATTTTGAAATGGGTAAACCGGCATTGTTGTTACACTGAGGTTGTATCTTAGCTTTTTATGTAGGCAGGTTACAGTGTGGAAACGATTGTTTAAAATGGTTTAGCTTCTAGTTAGGGAGGATTCAATGTACATTGAATGAAGGTTTGGAATTATTGATTTGTATCTTTAGCTTTTTAGTTAGGTAGGTTCGGTCACGTGACTGGAATATATGGTTCATTTCCTATGAATTTGAAGGTAAAATGTTAATCATCGATGGTTATATTCTGATTTCCTCACCGATGGGATGTGTGTGTCGTTTCCATTATGGATACTTTCTATCAGTATCATAATGGTTTTGCTTATTGTTTCCATTGTGGGTACTTTCTATCAGTACCATAATGGTTTTGCGTATTGTTTCTATTATGGGATCCTTTTGTCAATACCATAATAGTTTTGTGTGTTTTCAAGATTCGTTCTGAGGTCCATTCAAAATTAGTACCGTTTCCGGGTAGGCTAGCTAACATATCCATTTGTGTAACATTTACAGAACGTACATGGGTCGTACCTTGTGTAACTGTACAACAAATGGAGTAATATTGAAAAAATGTATGATAGTACATTTGGTTGTATTATAGTACATTTTTTTATTTGCAAAAGGAAGGGTGGATGGGTGCGGATCGGGCGGGTCTCCAGTCGCGGCAACCTCCACGTGGTGAGACCTGGGCAATCATATTGATCATAATGTAATTTTCTAATCATTTATAGACTTTTAGTTATTCGTGGTTTATATAAGCAAGGTATTATCATATAATTTATTAATTATTTTATTATGAACAATATGAGCAAATGGCTGCGAGTTTTATATATGTAAATACAATTTTGTCGTTCGCAGTTGCGGTATTTATGTAGTATTCAATTATTCCCGGTTGTCTCGCTCATTGCCAGTATAATTCCATTTAAACTTATTCTTTAAAATCGTAGAGTGCGCTACAAAGCAATTGGCAAAAATGTTTTATGTTTCGTCGGTAATTCAGAATATTGGACTCCAACTCCCATCGGTTGATATGTCTTACTTGTGCCTTGATGGTAACGTTGAACTCGAGTCATTGAGTGATGGGGTATGGAAGCAATCTGCAGTTACCGTCAAGGTGGGTTCAACTGCTGCATTTCGAAATGTTTCTCAGTTTTACCATTAGGGTGAAGGAGATGGCACTCGCATTCGAGTCACAAATTCAAGACTCCTTTAGAACAAAGGCATATATTTAGTCTTATTGGATATGTAATCACTGCTGTTCCCAAAATATGCAATGATATAAAATGGAAAAGCAGGTAGATATAAGATTTGAAGAATATTTTCAATTATGAATATGATATTTTTATCTTACTGCTTTAAATCAAATAGTTATGTTAGTTTGATTCAGAATATAAACTTAAAGATCGAGAATTACTGTATCAGCACATTAGTGTATCAACCAATGTATTCGTATAATCAAATGATTTTTACATACAGTAGAATATTTAGAAGGGGTTTGACGCCAGCAGAAGCAACCCCCAGCAAAACTAATCACTGGATAATGGACAAATTTATATTCGTGTTTCGATCCCCTACCACTGGTAAAATGTCACCCAGTACATATAGCTATATAGTTCGATCCTCCCTGGTCCCATCTAGGGTCAAATCAAGTTTCTTAATTAAAGAACCCACTGATTCTTTACACTCTCCCGTTTCCAAACCTGTTTCCATTTTAAAGAAAAAAGAAAATAATAGTTGTTAACAACTTTAGGTCCTAATTCAAAGAGAATAGAAGATAGCTATACCCATTACCGAATTTAACTAACCAACTCTAACTTCCTTGGTACCCTTTCGATATTAGCACCAGAAGCAAACAGAATGGTCAGATTTTTGAGCTCATAGATTTGCAGAATACAAGAATCAAATAGAAAACACACGTTGTAAGGATAATATAGAATAGAAGTGCATTCGAAGCCGAGGGGCGTTCGTACGTCCCTGGTTCCATGTCCGAAAGAGCATGTTTCCGCCTGATCGGTCACATACATTTTCGTTAAAACGCGTGTTCCATTCGTTTCATTAATTTTAATGCCCGCTGCGCATTCTGTTCATTTCTGCGCAACATATGAATATGGGATTCGCCTGTGTCCCTCTCTCCTCCCTTTTGCTGTGCACGAGCGAATAGCAGAGCGTACACGCGCGAAATTCGCGGTGGGGCACGCATATACACTGGCACGCATACAGAGAAAAACATAGGAATACACATATAGAAGGTGGGTGTGGGGCTACGTACGAGAGAGCAACGAGCTCGCTCATGCGAACACGGCTTCGGGTTGGTTGATATTAATTAATAATCAGAAACAGATGCGGCCTCGGCCCGCTTGGTTTCGAGCGAGGCGGCTTCGAAACGATAATTATTTAAGTCTCTCCTCGCCTCCCTTCTTGCCATCCCTCGCTTACTCCACCCACGCTTCTGCCTTCTTCCTCTTCCGTTCCTCATCCTCTCGGGAAGTTCCTCCAGCTCGAGCGGCTTCTCCAGCGTGCCCAGTGCGGCGTGCTAATTAAAGAGCATTCGCCTACGAATTTTACGCGGCTCTCGCTTCATTATGCACGCCCCGTTACCACCGGCACCCTTTTCCACAGCCTGTAACCCCGCAGGAATACCCCGGAGACCTTGTGCTACATTTTATGTACTCGCGATCGCTTCTGTCGCGATCAATCGCGAAACGAACCGCGATTATTCTTTTAATTGAAAAATTAACCAACTCGTTCGCGTTTCGGGTTCGATTAACCAGCGAAGAGAAACATTCGTCTCGCGAGATTCGTTCGGCGACGAATTAGCTGGATGTAGGGTAGAACGATAAGTCGAGGTAATTGAATTGCATCGGTGGTACTAGGTAAAATGATAAGAAATCAAAGAAATTGAGAATTAAGGGAGCTAAATTTCTTTTACGATTATTCAAGTTCGTGGCAAGTTTAACAAGTGTCCGAAGATGTTTCACCGATGTCGTACATATTTCTCAGCAAGCGATTCGCGAGCAACAAATTCGCGCAAAGGTTACCGACAGAAGTAGAAAGATCGCCGGAAGTTTTTCGCGAGAACGCGAGAAGGAAAATAAGGAGTGAATCGGGGCCAAAAGAGGGCGAAGGAAGAGGAAGGAGCAGGGTGGCGTTCAGCCAGCTACGCTCCCAGTGTCTGCCTTAATATCCGCCACTAACATTATTTCATAAAAGTATTACTATAAATCCAAACTCGCGTTATTTAAGCACCGTGCCTCCTGCAAGGGCTTCCACCGTCACCAACCACCGACCACACCACTATACCACCCACGTTCACCCTCTCGCTGGCTTCTTCTTACGCCTTACATTATACCGAGCGAAGGCAACTTTTGCCACCCCCTTTTCCCTCCGTCACATTAGAGATATATTATGCAGATAGTGGAGGCGCCAACCGGGGAGAAACGCGAAAGGAACTGCGGAAATTTAAAACTTTATTTACCCTACGTTGAACGATTTCACTCTTTTCTCCTCTTTTCATCGGTTCCTTCATTGTTTCTTTTTCTTATTCTAACAAATGTGTACATGTATTCCTATTTTAAACCTTTATTCGAAGACCACAGAAGATCTGTAGCTTTAAAAAAAATAATAGTCGTTGAATAGCTGTTATTAACAATAAGTAAGGGTTGTAATTGGAGCAAAGCTCCGCTGTTAAACGACTGATCGGGATTTTTGTGTTGATCAGTTTGTCGGATGGCGGGCTAGTTACAGATCTGATGAAAAGTAATGTATCTCCTTGTAGTTTGCTCAAAGTAAGGGTTGTTATTTTTTCTTCTCTGGAAAAGAGTATCAAGAGACGTTTTAAGGTTTTCTATGTCGGTGTCCTTGCTCATTAATTTTTCACGCTCGTCCCAGTCTCGTAGCGTACACGCGTTAGGACTTGTTCGGACCTTGAGCGGGCAACCGGGCGAACTCGCGCGAACGAGAATCGCTCGCTCGCTCGCACTAGCAACCCCATAAATATTGTAGCGACGCGAGCCGCGGGAGGGTTTTCTGACTCGTTGGCGCTAATATGTACCGGCTCTCCTGCTGCTTCTCAAGCTCCAAGGGCTTTTTTCGCGTCTGAAAACTGCGCGAATTATTCGGCCTGAGGGTGTGCAAAACGAATTAAACGAAACCTTTGTACGCCGCTTTGACACCTTCTTTTTTCACGCGCAACAACCTTGCTTGTTCGAAACTTTCGAACAGTTTCACTTTGAACGAGTGCCGTTGTGCTTTCTTGTCGACAAGCAAATTAAATATTTAATCAATGAATTAGGAAGTTTTTTAAACGGTACTCAACACAGGAACTTTCTATGTTCCCGTTTACATTTCTTTTTTTTTTTTCATTATTATCCTAATTATCGTAAGATCGAAGCATATTACTTTTCCTCGGGATTTCGCGTGACATTAAAATATATGGTGGTTCATTCTTTTCAAGATATTTCACGTTGAAATGTTGTTGGCGAGTATATTCTGAATGTTGCCGGTTCCGTTTCCCCATACCCCTATGTGTTCGCCTTCTGACCACCTGCGAAAGTTCAGATTTACCGGAATCCTAGTGACCGCTAACTTCTTTCCCTCTGTGATATTTCAATTCCATTGTCCCCTTTCTGTGTTTCGACGCAAGTTCTGCCGAGAAAATTCGTAGTACTCTGTCCGATAAAAGGTTCCAAGGGAATTGGACTTAGAGGAATGAAATTTACCTGCCACGGTATTTCTTATGTTTTTGAGTTTAGTGGCTGTAAAATTGGGAAAGTAGAAATATTTATTCTTGAATTTGAAGCGAAGTCCGAACGACAGAAAAAGAGGAAATAAATTAGATTCTCCGGTTTAACGATTTCGAGGGAAACAAAGTCCCCCGTGTGTTCGAAAGAAACAGAATTATAACGAAGCAGTTAACACGAGGTCCTTTGTTCTTGACCGTTCGTTGTGTCCAACGAAAGGATTGCAGAATTACCGGAGGCAGGTTCATTTCTGGATGAAGGATCGACAGAAAGCCCTCCTCGAGGTTTAAACGTTTCTTCCTTGGTCTCTTCGTGTGCAATCGATTCTTCCGCCATATCGCACGGACCACTTCAAGGGGCAAGAAGGCACGCGTGAACTTTGTAGTAGCAATTGGTTAGGGAAAAAAATGGGTGCGTTGTCGCCACGCGTGTTGCAAGTGAAACTTGTCAATAAAAACAGAGGAAAAGAATATGGGCGCGCAGAGGGAATAATTTCCAAGTACCGTGCGTAAAAATTTCTAAGTCCACAACTTTTTAGTCTAGAGACACAGAAAAATTTTGAATTCTTAGACCGTATCACAGATTAAACGAAATATAATTGCAACGTAACCCCGTTGTGTCCCGAAATCGTTATGTCACGGGTTTTTTTTTCGAGCAATCGGCAAGAAAGTAGGTAGCCATTATGTCGAATTAGTATTGTGATTGTGTAACCGACGCGATGTGACTCCATTATAAAGTGTACTCGCGCGTGTCGCATTATGTCAACGAAATACTATTCAATATGATCGTCGGCTCCCTTTCCCTCTCTTTCGTTCCCGACATTTGGCGTTCATTGACATTGAATCAACGATCATACATCAGTGATGAAAAAGAAAAGAAGCTGAATCCAGCAGAATTTCCTTCGAAATCCTGTAAAACCTCCGCAAACAGCCGGAAACGAAAATTCTTCGAATTTACGATAGAAGAGTTCACACAGGAAAGTAATCAAAACTTTCCAGGATGCTGTGGAAGGGAAGTAGATGCAAGTTGATGAAGATTTTCTTTCTTTTTATCGCATATTCATTTTGAAAATGTTTTTCAGGATACTGGTGGAAGAGGAGCGCGAAAAGAAAACGGAAATGCCGATATTTCCGGTGACTCTCTACACCATCGTCGTCATACAATTTATTGGTAAACTTTGCTAGCTTGTTAGAGGGTTACGTGCGCTGGGATAAGAAATATCCAGAGTGGTATTCAGCTCCAGCAGGGCCTACATCGGCCTCCCTCTTCCTCTGTTACCCCGCTTACATTCGCTATGTTCGTGTTACCGACATTCTTTGTCGCTTGTGTGTGCACCAGCGCCGCAGACAGTACCTGGAGCAGCTAGCTAGCAGCATCAGCAGCAACGGCAGAAGCAGCAGCCCCCTTGGCTGTAGGGTTAGAATACCAGAGTTGCCTCCATCGGGCAACTGGTCTGCACCACTGGCTTCGACGCTCTGCCAACCACTACCAGCCTCTGTCATCCTCTTCCTCTCCCTCTCCCTCTCCATCTTTCTCTCTTTCTCTTTTCTCACGCTAACCTAACCTTCTTCTCATAGACTCTGCCAAGAATATGAATATCCCGCGGTTCATCTACGGACACTAGGATTTACCGCGACTTTCGCCTCTCAAACGAGTACAATGAAAGGTGACGATCTTGGAGAACGCAGTTAGGATAATTCTTCAAGTTATTTCTGATCCTTCGAATGGATTAGGGTGGTTGTGGATGGTGGGGATGTATTTGCTTTTAAGCCTGGTAGTAGACACTAATTGGTTAGGTGCTATTTAGCAATTTTATTTTATTTTATTTAACTCCTTGATTTTTATGACTTTATGTTATGGATAGTTAATTTTGCCTAAATCGTTTAATAGGTTGTTGCATTAGCAGCTGCAATGCGGCAGTATTTCGCGAGAGAAACGAGGTATATCTTTGTGTACAACAGTTGTAAGGACATACATATAGGGTGTTAATGGAATTGTCACCAATTCGGTGAACATTTTTACGACATAGTTAAAACATTTTTGTTAGACTTAAAGTTTGAAAGGGCACATCCAGATTTTGAAATTTTTACATATTCTTTCAAGTACGATATTCCAAAAACGTCTGTTGAAATTTTCAAGTTGATTTGACAAAAATCGAAGATGACACGCATACAGTAAGAAAGGTTCCCTCGGGACATATTCTTGAAACTTCTGCCAGGAATATCTTGAAAATTTTTACATTTATTGTACACATGAAAATCCAGTCGAAAAAATCAGTGGTTTTCAGTGCAATATTTCCAAAGTAAAAAAGAAAAGATAGAAAATTACAAGAGCCATTGATTCCATAAAATATGCAACCGACAAAACGTTACAGAGAGACACCCTGTAGAGAGATATACATATATACAGTGAAAGGGGTGGAATCTGTATGTGTACGTGTATATAACGAAGGAGGGAAAGGGACAGGAGAGAAACGGTGCTGGGGACAACAATCATAACAATCTAGTTAAACGTTATAAGGATATCTGGCGCTAAGAGGCGTGCCAAGCGTTGCATAAAATCAAATTGTACGCCGAGCCGAGAAGTTATTGTCGTTTCTCATCCTCCGCTCAGTTTTCGTCGCCGAAAATTCCGCCAAGGATCTTCTGCTTCTTGGAGTTTCCTTCTTCTCCTGCCCCCATTCCGTTTTCTATTTCTTCCTCCTCGACATCCTTATGGGTACCATCAGTTTTTCTTCTTTTTCAATTTCCTGTATAATTCAAACTCTACGTTTTTAGAACTTTCATCCTCCTATAATTAACCCTTCCGTAGGAGACGACTACGAACGTCGTTTTCGTAAATTTCTGACCACCTATTCGGTGTCGTTGTGAAAGGGTTAACAATGTTTTCTGAACAACAGACACGTAAGACGTTGAATTGAATCGAACAGCATCCTCGGCAATGGCTTCGTCGAGGCGAACAACGCGAGTTCATAATGAGACTTTCTATTCCGTCAACGATATCGGATAATTGCGTCCCCACTGTCGATCCTCGAAATAGGGTAATGGAGAACTCACGAAATCGGCTTGAGGGGTTAAATTGAAATTGAAATCGCTCGAAATTACTTGCAGTCTCGAGGACTATCGAGAGAAGGTTGATACCCTCCTGCTCGCGGAATCGAATATTACTCTCGACGCTCGAAACAATCCGTTTTGTTGCAACCACTTCTACATGATCGATCAACCATTAAATAGGAACACGATATACTTTTTACTTATGTTATTTTAATTTCTTAAATTTTCGATCAGTTTTTATCAGTACCCAAGGTAGCTGAGGGTTAACTCATAAAGTAAGAATGATGAGTTAATTCGTCGTTAAAGTCGCAATTTAATATTTCTCTAATTTCATTTTTTATAATAATTGCATCGTCGATAAATTTCTTCCATAATTCTCGTTACATTTCTGATAAAGAAATCATTTTCTTTCGCTCGAAAATTGTCGGAATTCCCACAGTTTCGTGTACGATAACTCGCCTCGTTGAAAAGAAAAAAAAGAAGTTGATGTATCGACGGAGAGGAACAGGAAGGGCGACGTCTTCGTTAAGGGATGCCCGTAGGGCAGAGTTAAAACGTCGTGGAATCAAAGGATCGATTAGAATCGAGCCTCGCCGCGGGATTTCTTGCGTAATTCGAAAGGAACTGGTGGTTCTTGTCGCTCACCCTCGTTCCTGGATAGAAAAAAAAAGAGAAATAAGGAGAGAGACGCGTGTGAAGAATAAAGGGCGAACAGGAGAGGTGAACAAAGTCACCCTCTTTGTTACCAGGACTTCTTGCATCCCCGATTTCCAACGACGTCCATCCTCCCTTTTCTGCGGAAATTCAATATTTTGGCTATCGAGTTTCGAGCAAAAGGGAAGAAGAATCTCTTCCCTCCCATTTTCTACCCTTCTCAATTTTCTTTCTTTTTAAACGAAATCGTCGGGGTGGTTTTTAAATTGCTCGCAATGACTTATGAAAGCTCTTCGCGTGCCTTTTGGAGGAATATCGAGAAATAAGTGAAAATAATTATTTTAGTTGGTTTTATATTGGAAAATTTTGTATTGCAATCTATCAAAATTTTCGCAGTAAGAAGGAAGGTTCTCACGGCATCGACGAAACGAAGATCAACGAAGGATCGATCTTGGAATCGAGATTAATAAGAGTCGAAGGAGTGACGGTCCCACGGCAGGACGGAGGCAAACACGAAGAAAAGACTCGCCTGCTGAGACGAACACCGAGATGGGCGTGGCGGGAAAACATGCAGTCACAATGTTGGTCCAACTACACGACAATTATCGCCGGTGGGCTTTATAATTAAAAGGACTCCGGAGTCCCAGCGACCCCTTTCTCGCCCCCCATTCACTCGCGTATCTAGCATCTTTATGGTGTCCCACAGAGAAGATCCGGTCTTCGATTAACGATCGACGAGCAGACCGAAGTTGACTTTGTTTCTTTTTCAATCGTGAAACTTCCGAGAGATGTCTGGTTACTGTAACTAGCTTGTTTCCTTTATGTCGTGCTGCGACATTGTCACGGTGCCCTCGTATTGTCACGCGTGGTTTTTTCAGAACTGTTGTATGGGAATTTCAAAAATCCTCTACTGGATCGAGTTGTAAATTTAATATACATAGAATCAGTTCAAAATTTGACGAAAAATCTAACTTTGAAGTGTCTGAAAACGTCACCTGTCTCTCATAGATGAAACACCATCGTAGGACAAAATCGTTAATCTTATAGAATATCTTTGAAAAAACAGCTTTGTGGAGTGTACCTTTATTAAGAACTACAAAGGTGACAAGGGTGCGAAGAGGGGTGAATTTTTCGAGGATTGATTTTCAGTAAAGTTAGTTGGGTATGGTGGACAACGGGTGTCGGTAGAACGACGCGAAATAAGGGCATCGGAAGGCTAGGGAAACGTGAAAATCTGCGGTACTTCCGGAACGCAGCGGGGCCACTCGACACAGACCATTGAAAGCTGACCAAACGCCACAATGTAATTCGGTCCAGGGTCATCGTATAACGTGCTAACGTGCGCTAATGCGCCCTTAACGAATCCCTTAATCCAATTTCGTGCAAAGTAACGAAATTATGTGGCAGCGAACCGGAAGTTGTGGCCCGCTCACGGGATATACTTCCTCCTCTCGTTTGCTTCGAGTGTCTCCCATTCACGTCAGGTAATCGAGTTAACACTCTCCTCTCCATTCCGTCTTTTTCTTTTCCCCTTTCATTCTGTAGTTTGTATATTTGTTTGCGATAGTGATATATTTAGATATAATTCAATTCAGTGATGAATAGTTGTTTAAATATTAATTTTTCATACAATTACATTTAATTTAATTTGTCGCTAATACAGTAGATTACATTAAATTCTTATATAAAAAAGGTAAATAATTTAAAAGCTATAGTCATTTACCAGAAACACCCTCGGTAGTCAGTTCTCTGATCAAATGATTGGTCCAATAATGGAAAGAATCAAAATTATCTACATCATATTGAGATATGAAACTGTACAACAGCTTCTGCCATCACAGATCTGTTTAACAGTCATGGGGTTCGACCATATGTACCCTAGGATGGCACCAAGGAGGATTATCATCAGGGAGATCCGTTATCTCGGTGGCACGCGCGTTCCTACATGGAACCTCTTGCCTCTTCCCATCGTTCTGTCTCTCTTCCTTTATGGTCCGCTCTCGTGATAATAGAGATGTCATTCTGTCTCCGCTTTGACAACCCCATAACACGGACGTTCACGCAGCTCGTCTGAAACGTAGCACCGTGTTCCCCGGGGATCCTCGAAAACTGTCGCTGCGTGCCACACTTTCGCGCCACTCCCTTTCACTCTTTCCTCTTAACCAGACGTACAGATTTTCATCGTATAATTAGTCTCTTGAATTATTCTGGGACTTCGATGTCTTTTCAACCAAGTTGAACTTGGAAGGTGCATTACAATAGGCGTATTACAAACTTAGAAGCAGATGGATATTTCTCTTGAATCCCTTTGACTTCTGATTAGTAGAAATTTGGAAATTTTGTTAAAAATGAAACGCTTATTTATTCCAAAGGATCTCATTTCTGATACAATCTAAAATCAGTAGGTTGTAGTGCGATTATAACGTAGGGTCATTTGTGAGAGTTAACGCGATGATCGGAATGACCGACACGCGCAGCCAAGTATTTAAGATGGCGGGATAAGCGGGTCACGTGCCGGCAGGATCTATGGGATATTTATTGAGAGCTCCCTTTCCGTCGCCTCGACGATGTATTGCTTTTTAAAGGACTTTAAAAGCTGCCTTATCGAATCCTCCACATTCGACCATCAATCGTCACACGATCCCAGCAGCGATGCTTACATTTTGTACAGAAGAATTTTCAAAGTTAAGACAATTTTAATTTGATTTTAATTTTATTTCATTGATTCAACAATATTAAATCTAATTCATAATTCCATTTTCAGGTCAATTAATAGGATACCGTGTTCTACTATCGAAGCCGAACAGTCGTTAATGGTGAGACGGCAGAAATTTCGTAAAGTTTACGTGCAAACGCGACAACTATACCCATAACCCATCTACTAATACACATGTATATGGAAGCGACGATATTACAAAATTATCGGCACGTGAATGTTATCGGTGCTGGGCCTGCAGAACGGAGTACGTAGATACACGAAGCGATACCGTGGGCTAGTACGCGTACAATGGAGTCGATCGGGCAGGGCCCCTACGTGAAATGCAAGTTCCCCATAGAATAGATTTCCCTCGTGCAGGTCTCCGGTGTCCGAGATAATGCGATAACCAGGTTTACTACCGCCACCGTGCGTGGTCGATCGATGCCGCTGCTGCCCGGTCTGGAAATAAATCGTCAGACTGGCAAAAATTTTCGATCCAATCACACGAGAGGGAACAGTTCCATTCTATAATATGGTATTTCAATGGAACATTATCGTTCATTCATTTTGAAATTATTAAAAAATTTCTCTCTGCCGGAATATCCCTATAGAAGACGTCTTCAAAATATTTTTCTAATATTATTCTACATATTTCAGGGTTTATTATGGAAGATCGTCAAAACAGACCAGTTCGACTCGCCACGTTGAAAACAAAAATATTTGTCATAGATCGTTCGGGTGCCAGTCTGATCCAGGATGGGCACATCTGTTTTGCTTTCAATAATGTAAGAAATATGTGTCGTAGACCGTGATATTTTTCTTTTTCTGCTAGACTGCGTAAAAAATAAATCTTTCTTAACCCTAGGAGGCGGACCCTGAAGAGAGCCCCATTTTAATTTAATTTTGTAAGTACTTCATATTATCTCCATTTTCTAAATTTTACATTGTTCGTTTAAACATTATTCTTTGTAAAGTAAACTTGGTTAATTATGTAACAGTAATTACTGTTTATCTGAACTTAAACGCACTTGATCGAGAAAGGGGTTGATTTGTGAAAGATTCGTTTGGAAGCGATCGTTAATAATGAGTCGATTGCCTGGCTGTCTGCCTCCTTTTTCATAGCACGTTCCTGAGAAACGTTTGACTTTGCGACTGATTGCAGGGTGAATATCTCGGGAGTTTGCTGCATTGTCGCGGAAGAATAAGGAGGGAGGCGCTGCGGCTGCGAGGGGTGCCAGTTATTTTTCCTCCCCTCTAGCCGGTCCTTCCTGTGAAGATTTCAAATTACAGGCTCCAGAAACGGCGCCCCCGTTGAGGTTCGACCCCCATGGGGGGCATCACGAAAACTTGTGCAAGACACCCTGCCTCGACCTCCTCATGGTGTACCGATTTCTTTCTTTCTTTCTTTTTTTCTTTTTTTTGTACCACGCTTTTCTCTCGCCATATCTTCCACTCCACTTGCCGATATTATCGACATGACCACCCGATCGTGGGTATGCGCTCTGCATACGTTTCTTAAGAACGATTCAGTCCGGTAACGAGCTGGTTCGATGCGACTGCAATCTTCTCTTTTGTTAAAAGCCCTTCCGAGCAGACTCTTTGGGAAGATTCGTTATTAACTCTGGGGAAATTTATTTTTACAAAAGTCAAGGGTGGTATCATGATCATAATTCACAATATTTTAAATTAGAAATCAGATTTTAAGAAAGAATATAAATACCATCCTCCCTCTTAATAAAAAAAAGAGAAGATCGTCAAGTTGCAAGGTTGTTATTTTTTAAATCTGACGGAAAGAACGCGTGAAAGAAAAGTGGCAATCGAAAGGGTTGCAGAGGAAGGATGGCTAGAGTCGAATCGTGGGGGTAGAATCGTTAAAGAGGGTGTTTAAAGAGAAGGAATGTTCTTTATGCGTAAACTATGCAGACAGGCGAGTTGGTAGTAATGCAGAAAGACGAGGAGAAGTATTATTAACCGGGCAAGGAGCTGCAATAACACGCGACACATCGGCTCGGGGACCAAGAGGAGACGACTGCGACGAGCAGTCGAGTGAAAATCACAGCAGGGGACCAGACACGCGTGTCCCTTTGACGACCATCTCGTTCAGAGGGATGATCCTTTCATCTTCGCCGACAACATCTTCAGGTCTGTCCTGATGGTCCGCGTCGCGGATATTCTCGTGTCTGTATACTTCCATCAGCCGAAAAGAAAAAGGTATGTTTCTACTTTGGATATGCTGGTCAGTCTCCTCTAGAAACGATTACTTTAATTAATTATAATTCATTTTTAACATAGGCGATTTTAATTTTAACTTTCAATTTTTTAAATAATCTTGTTAAGTCTCGTGAGTTTATAATCCCAAATTGTTATGAAATCATTTTTTAACTGAATCAAATGAGGATTTTCGAAGGAACAACAAATTCGACGAGGATAAATCTATCCGCGCGAATGGAAAACACTCCGAGAAGATTGCGCGAGTAAATTTTAACAGAGAATAGAGCATTTATAGGATTACAGAGGAGCGTTAATCCTATTTGCAATTGTTTTTTCGCCAGCAGATGGCGCGCGAGTGAGTGGCGTTCGCGGCGCGTAGAAATTAATTCCATAGAAACGGAGGAAGGGAGGCGAAAGCTGGCCGTTTGATTTTTTCCTTTCCCCCCCCTGGTTGAAAATGAGGAAAAGAGAGAAAAAGCAGCGGGTATACGGTAGGTTTGCGTGTGCGTGAGGCGTTTTTAACGCGTGTTACCCGGCGGAACCGCAATCCGCTTTTGCGGTGGGCGCCGCTGTCGCCCGTAGCCCACTGGTCACGAGTTTCCGGTAACGCGCTTTGGCGCAAACTGCGGGCCACGGCTGATTTCGAAATTGCTAAACATTTTCACACTCTTATGGTTTCAACGCCATCGCGATCCCTTTGTTTCTCTGCCTCTCTGTTCCCCTCCCTCTCCACCACCGCCTCCTCGTCCACCTCTTTTTTTTTCCATTTCGTTTCGTCTTGTTTCCCTCGTAATTCCCGCGCGTTTTGACGTTTTCTCTGTCAAAGCCTCCGGCAGACAAAACGAGAAAGGAGTAACGGAGAAAAGTCGCGGTTTAATCTGATTTTACTTTGGTCTGAAAATACTGTAACCAACAAACGATACACGCAGAGCGATAGACATCAGAAAGATACATTGAAAATACAAGTTTTTGACGCAGGAATTATTTTATCCGTTATACCTGGTTTACTGAAAATATACATGGGAATTTTTCTTCATTTTCTGTGATTCTTGAAATTTCGAAATTTCAAGAATTTTAAACTTTTCAATAGATATTAATCATTGTAATCAGAGGTTTATGAGAATTCAAAGTTTCCAGGATGATTAGGAAAGGGGGTTAAAGTTAAATTCCGTGACGGTGGTATCGATAACCATCAGTACGCCGATTTGCTGTTTAATTGCGAAGCGTTTAACCAAATTCGGCCGGCGGCGATGAGAAGCGAAGCATTCGAGGGTCGTGTCATTAAATTATTCCGGAACGTGAGCCCAACGGGTGTCCTCGATCAGTTTCTCCGTGTAATTCGACAGAAGAATAACTTGGAACATCTGACTTGCCTGTCGATTCTTCCTTCCACTCCTTGCTGTTCAATTCACATTCAAACCGATGATCCTTTGACAAATTTTGATAAACATTTTTCTACCATTTCTATCTTTGAATTGCACATCTATATTTGAAAGCATAGTTATTAATAATTTCTTAATTGTTTCATGACACAATTCTGAAATAGAAAAAATATATGTAAAATAGATATCGATTCGTTTATTGGAAAAACAGTCCAGATGTATCAGGTAGATGTTACAAGATCATTTTTTCTGAGCGATCGGCTCTCCGGGCTAAAATCGACCCGGTTTTCACGCACGTGGCACGTGCAAAATGTTCAAGTACCCTCCAGGACATCGAAATTGACCAGAAGCACGCGATTCGAGTCAGTGACTCCGAAAAACGATCCTTCAGTGGCGAACGAACGTGTCGGCAAACAGAATCGCTCGGTGGAACGGCATCGAGCCCCAGGGTTGGTTCGTTGCCTCTCTGTTCGTGGCCGATGAACACGTCGTCCCTGGAGGCTTGTTGCACGGCAAAAACGTCAGTAGCAAGAACTTGCCGCGATTTTTTTCGAACGTGTTCCCGAAACTGGCCCGTTCCTCTCTGCTCACCGCTTCCGTTTTACTTTCCGTCCCAGCAAATCGCGATCCCCGATAAATGCATTTTTTCCCTCCTCTTTCACCCGTCCCGAAACGGGGGCATCCGATCAGTAACATGACTTTTGACCAAACGTTTTCTATTTTTTACCTCGATTCCTTTGAACGATGTTCAACACTTTAATTATTCGTTTACGTTAACGAATAATTATCCCTTTTGGGGCGGTAAATGCATAAAGTAATTTTCTCTCGTGTACGAAAAGCTCTTTGTCAAGTAATTATAATTTTGGTACGATTCATTTATGTCATGAAACGGTACCGGACAAAATGGTCGGTTGACCCGCAACAAGCTAGTAGAAATTCGAATAATCCGACTTCGTTCGATCTGTTAAACGTTTCTGGTACCATTTTCGGATTCCCCGCTCGTCCTCCATCGGGCTGACGTTTACCAACAGTGGTAATTACGGTATTTATTGGTCTGTGGTGCGATTCTAAGCGGCGAGTGAACTGGAAATCCGACCACGTGCTTCTAGCGAATCCATTTTACGGGGCTCGTTTATCGTCGATCTGTCCAGAAAAAAAGAAAGAAAGAAACGCGACGGACAAGGTGAAAAGCGAACGAAAGGAGGGACCAAGGGGAAGGTGAATTCGTACCATTTGGTCCGGATTCGAGGTCGGTTAACGCAGCAGGGTTACCGCGGACGCCTCGGCGGACACATTGAGGGCGCCCGCTCGACTTGATAATCGCGCGCCATTCATATACTTTTCATTGGATTGCGATTGAGCATTAAGAAACCAGAGGGCCACGTTTGCCACCGAAAGGACCGCGTATTAGCATTAGGAGGCATCATCTCGAGTGTAAACACTGCATGGGCACCGCGGATTTAGTCACAGTCTAGCACCGCGGGACGTCACAGGGTGTACCGGGAACCGGTACCGCCGCAACGGGGATGATTATACGTGACAGAAAAAGAGTAAATCAAAATTATTCAACAAATTTTTTCAAGAGAAAAGAGAAAATTTTTGAAAATGAAAATAATACAGTACAAAATTCAATTAAACTTGGGACTCTCTCCATGGTCCGTCCTACTGTTCAACGTGTTTAATCGTGGAAAAATTAATGCATTGAATACGGTATGTCTGAAAAGTCAATATTTGTTTGACTGGAAGACACGCCAGCAGCAGGATAGGATAAGGTATTTTCGAAAAAGAAGATCCAAGCAGCCAGGCAGTAAAAAGAAAGCGGTTTGTCGTCGGTCTTAACCACGATTCACGGTTAAAGCTCACGCCGATGATCCCTTTTATCCAATCCGTGAGGAGCCGCGAGGCGTTAAATCCCTCGGGAAAATCTCCTGAACTGAACTCGCGTTCCTGCTAAGTCGGTCAGCTCGGTCCAGCCGACCGAGAGGATCACAATACCGCTACCGAACAGGGAATACCAACCTTATTCTCTCTTTCTCTCTTCGATCTAGGTGTATCCTAGAGGTTAGCTGGAAAATTAGTTGCGCGAGAAATTCATGTTAATCTCGAGTAATCGGCTGCGGTCGGCCGTAAGAAAATGGCTGACGCGATCCATCGTTTGGAAAAAGGTTCTGTCATGCTTCCATTTAACCTACCGATCACATTGTCTTCTCTTCGAAGATTATTTTCTTTCGCTGAAAATATCACGTTGCTGCTGACGAGGGGATGATTTATTCGACAAAAAAAAAAATAACAGCTGTCGCAAATTGTTTAGAATTATGTATCGTAGTTGGTCGCAGTTTACATTGGAAATTCTTATTTCACAAAATCGAAGAGTCTCGATTTCATAAAATTGTTTTTCTTGTTTCATTTATTTCAAGCAACGTTAACCTGTTAATGATGCAAGTTCCATAGACGCAAACTGCACTGTAACGTGTCAATCATAATTTTAATTAATGAATACGTTATATCTGTACGACGGTAATGATAAAAGGGAACGTCAGTCATTGACACGTTAATTATTCATTTGATCATCAGTCTTGTTACGTTCATAGGGCGAACTGCTGAAAAATTTATAAAAATTCATAGTAATTTATATTTTTCATTTTCGTTTAGTTTGAAAAAGAAGTTCCTTTTTCTGTGATATTTTCAACATAAACGTAAAGTAAAATGAAAATTTGATCGGTTGCAACGGATTGAATCCTCTTCTCTCTCCCTTGACCAGCGAACTTTGAGAGATCGATCAGTCGATTCGATTGCAGTCCATCACCAACTCAGATATTACCAAAGTTCCGGAATCTACTTTCAGAAAATTTAGTACAGATAGCCCAGTTTCTCTTGCGTAACTCGCTTTAACAAAACCCTTGGCGCCACCATTCATCCCTTTAATAAAGGATCCTTGAATAACTCGTTGAATTTAGCTTTTGCAAAACCGAAGAGGTCGACTGAACTTTCTTTCAATTTTAATGGTAAAATAGGCCTCCCTATAGCTCTTGTCGAATAGAAAATTCATTTTGGTACTTCTTCTTTGCCTAGACGATTAATTTCTATTTTAAAGAATAATTTGTATTCAATTTACATTTAAAGTGTGATGGATTAAATCACGCGTGTAAGGGTGAAAACGAGAGCAATTTCTTTGCACCTGTTTGCGTCGAGTGAAGTGATTAAGAGAGGATTAGAGACGGAGAATTGGACGAGCACGTGCGTCTCTTTTGCGGTGTAAATAACGAGTTAGCAACAGGGTGTCCCGAAGGTTTTTTCCTTTTTAATTGGTACGAACGTTGGACATCCCTTCGGCAAAATTGCAGGGATTAGCCGTACCTTCGAATGCACGTGCACTCAAATCTTCCCTAATTACACTGGCTTGGTCTTTTCAATTAGAAGCCCTCCTCCGACACGATTATTCCAAAAAGAAAGAATAAAATATTCTGTAAACGTGTGACAAGTTTGTCAGCTTATTCATTTTCAACGACAACGTTCATTATAACTGCGAGCAATTTTTTATTATTTTTCCACACAAGACGCGACTAGTGAACCGTACACGGAAAATGAATGGCAGCGAGGATAAGCGAAGGATATTAACCGAGTTTAGAAGGATATAGAGGGCATTGCGTGGTAAGGAAAAGGGGTTTACTCGTGCCTTTCTTCACGGGATATTCTCTTCTGTTGCGTACGAGAAGTTGAAGTTAAGGTGAAGAAAGCTTTAGCTCACGTTCACACTGTCGGAAACGGAGAAGCAGCCAGCTCTTATCTCCGGTTTGCAAGACTGCCTCCGGTAATACCGTGCGCTCCTGGAAACCCTTCGAACGAGAGCCCCATGAAATATCGCTAAACGGCTTGCCACCCCTCTTCCCGTACATCGATCCACCGTCAAAAATATTATTGCCACGCTCTTCGTCGTTAGAAATCTCAATATTTTCGTCTCTCGATTCATCGAAATTTTTATCACGCCAATAATTCCAGGTAATAAACTGAAGATTAATAAGTTTAAACGCGTCATAAGCTTCCGTAGTAATTGGAAGATCGGGATGGCAACTTTAAATTTGCCCATCGTGTTCGGAGGTCTTCCATGGAGTCCAAGAACACGAAGGACGGTGAGAACGGCTGGAACAACGGCGAGGAAACGAACGAACGCGCTTCATTATACACGAGGCTCGCACGCTTCGTTTGGCCCCGGAAGTCGTGCTTTAGGAGGGTCGCGCCGGGGAGGAGGCGAGGGCCATCGCGACTACCGTGTGCGACCGAGACGGCGTAGGGTGATAAAGGGAGGAGAAAGAGGGTAAACTGAGAAGTAAATGGGAAAGCTTGAATTAATACAATCACTGGGGTGGCTCACCGCTCGCAGTCCGTGAGGATAGAAACGGGCTTGGTACAACCACCCCTTTGCTTGTCATCGAAATTATACGCTGCCGACACTCGACCTCGTTTACCACGTCTCTCTTCCTTGCTTTGCTTTGCTTTACGCCTCTCCCTCTTCTTTCTCTCTGCTGGATTCCTACGACAAGACAGCGGATGAGTTTCAAAATTAGGACCAAGAGAGGAGGAAGAGGGTCAAATATGGCGTCGCGTAACGAGCTGTTGTCGTTTCTGTTATCGAGAAGGGGGCTTGCGTTTCCAGCGACACGAGAGGCCTCGAAATGTAACGCGATTAACTCTGAATCCGCGTCTCGAATCGCGTTCTGCTCAGCCAATCTGAATTAATGTCCTCCAGAATTTTCACCGATTCTTTTATCAGACCTTTTTTTTTTACACGTTTCTTTATTCTTTGCTGTTTCTTAGATACCTTTCTTCTTCATTTCCTTTTATGTATTCGAATAACTTGGGGAATTCTTTTTTAAAATTTCCTTTGCTAATGTGACGAATTACTTAGAATTTTTATATTTAACGCTATGGAGGGTTTTTTTAAATTTCCATCGATTCCATATTACATGATTTACATTGGAACGAATAATGTTCTATGTACGAGCAATCTTCAATCGCTATCTTCGATCGGGCGCTTTTGTTTCGCTTTCCATCGCGCACCTTTACGGTGCAGAGAGGTGGGTACGCAATAAAGGCATCTGGAGGAAAGATTTTCACCCTTGGAGACTGGAGAACGACGAGCGGAACCAGGTTACGGGGGTTTTTAATAAAATCAGGCGATCGTTGAGGCGTGTCAAATGGAAATATGCACGTTCGGTCGAGGGATTTTGCGGACGGGAGAGAAGCTTTCCCGTTTGTAAAATGGGGGTGCGACTCGATAACGATGGAATTCATCCACCCACGCTCTCGACGAAAGTAGAAGAGGAGCGGGAGGGAAGGGCGGAGAGAGAAGGAGAGCAAGTTGCGAACGACGGGATGATGAGAAAAAATTTTCTCCTTTTTTTTTTTTTTTCATTTTACCTTTCCTTTATTCCTTCCAGCCGCCTGGGCGTGTATCGTAATCAAGAAGGCGCGAAGTAGATTAGCGATTCGATATCGTGGAAGAATTTTTTTTTTTTTTGGCAGACTAAGCTGGCCGAAGAAAATTTTCCACCAGGCCAAACAATATCCTCTCGGTTGATTTGAGAAAAACGCAAACGGGTTTATATAATTCGGTTGGAATTAATCTCGATCCATTATCGACACTCTCTGTCAAATTGTTTGTAGACGGGTCGCTCATTTTATTAATTAGCGACTGATACAAATCACTTGCCTCGACTTTAGACTCGAAATTGCTGAGACCAGGGGGAATATTTATATAATTATAAAGAGGAACTATGATAAGAGAGATGAAATATAGCCGATGCTATTGTCGAGATTTATCGAGATCTGGTTTTGGCGATTTATGAAAAACATCAGCAGACGATGGTGTACAGAAGAATGTGGAGAAGTCGATAGACGTGATAAATGCGAGGTACACGTTCGACGAGCGATCGCGTCGAAGTTGCCTCGAACACTTATGGGACGCCATTCGTTTTACGAGACTTCTTATCTGGCCGCTGCCAGCCCATAAACGCAACTTCGCCACATACAAGCCATCCTGACGCATTTACGCGGCGGATGTCAACCCCTGTGTATTTATCGAGTGCTTCGGCGAGCGTCGGTTTGGTTATCAACGCTGAAAAATATTTCGCGATAGAAGCATCCTGGGAAACGATCAACACTTTCAGCTACTTGGTTAACGTTTGAATCTCGAACAGAAGGTGTCGGTACTTTAAACGAACTGATATACTTTTATTTCAAGAAAAATTCTACAGGAATCGTAAAGGAATATTTCGCACTTGGAGGATGTAATTTGCATATTACTAATTTTTATTTCGTGTGCTGATAGTATGGAGGTTTTACGCAAGGATACCACCAGCTATGCGCCTCCTTTCTTCAGGTCCTGAGAAGTCCGTCGATTTATCAGCGACCAACAGGTTATCAGTGACGAGGCAGCATTATGAATTAAAAGAAAAGGAGGATCTAGAGGGTGGATAAGCGGAGGCGATGCTGCCGCTTATCCTCGACACGACACTACTGTGCGAGACGTGTCACCAAGGGGTAAGTACAAAAGACAGAGAAAGATAGAGGAGGGAGAGGGCCGTCTGTCGTTTTGTATATCTACCCTCGTACGGTGGAAATTTCGTTACGGGGGTGATTTTCTGCGGGGGATGGCCAGCCCCGTCCCCGCTTTAAACCTGATTGGATGCAGAGTTATCTCGCGCTGCGTTACTTCCGGATGATTGGTCGCTGCGGTCGTCATGACTACCTTGCCACCACCACCGACCCCGCCACCCCATCCCCCTACATGGCCCACTTCCCCGTAACCACTCGTCTTACCTTCCTACCCTTCGCTACATCTCTCTTCTGCTTATTCATACAGCCTGTTTTTATACATCTTCTTCTTTTATTCGCTCTTTTACTCGCGCGGTTCTGACCTTCTCATTTTCGTTCGACTGCTTCTGTTTAGATGACGCGCTACTGTCCCTCCAGTACACCCTTCGAACCTTCCTCACCGTGCTTCACTTTCACCCCGGGTATATACTTGGCTATCCGTGAAACGTCCTTGGATAAATGACTTTCAGGAGGATTGAATGTCACTTTTTAAGTTGTATAATATTCGGTAGGAATTTTAATAACTTATAGTTCTTGGGGCCACTATCCAAAGGGCCAAACAAATTTTCTTTATTTTTCTCGGATCAATTGAAAATAAGAAACAGCAATAACTTGACAGGGAGGAGATTGGCGAAGGGATGAAGGATAGAAATCGAGCGTGGATAACGACAAGACACCCTTGTTGGAATAATAAATCTGTAGGCAACAACATTACCAAACGACAAAAGGGTCCGGGATGGGCGTGACTCGTTCATATTATTCGTTTCGATCGTGAGAGATGGAGACGTCAACTTTTGTAGAATTCGTCTCGGACCGCTGTCGAGTTGCTCGAAGTGGCATGCAACGAACATTAGCTTCACGCGCTTCAACGACGACGCCGCCACATTCGTCGCCATTGATTTCCGGCGCGTGCTGCTCGACCATGTCAATAATTCCTCTCATTGTTCGCGATGGAACACATTCGAGCCGCGACGAATTAACCGAAGCAGCTGAAAAGCTTGTTTCCAGAGAAATCAGAGTGTGTATATCTCGGATAAGTTTCGATTCGTCGAAGACTATTTTCCATTCTGCTCGTATTTTGTGATTTTCTTATTATTTTACGCCGTGCTTTGTTCTTGAAGTGATAGCAAGTGTTAGAGTGTTTATTTGTAGCTTGAAAAATTTTCAATTAAACAGGGGTGGTTTTTCTATTTTTCCTTCCAAAATTAAAAATGAATTATTCCTTAAAATAAGTCATCCTCAGGATTATTTGATAAGGCAGCCCATGGATATCGTAGTTGAGCAATATACGCCGTGATACATTAGGGCATATGCTTGTTCGCATCTGTCGCGTGCATATTTGCAGGAAAAAATGGCTGCGGTGTTCGGTTTCGCGAATGTCTGCTGAGTCAGGAACCCGACCATCGATCACTTATTGTTAGCGAGCAAACAGGCGTCGTATCGCGACTGCACTTATTTGCTTCGACACCCTTTTCGCCGACACAATTCTGTCATTTTCGTGAAAAGTTACCATTCTGATAGATCGATGCTTTCAGTTACCCAACAATTGCTGACTAAATCGACATGGGCCAGAAAAGAATTTGATATACACACACTTGACACTAAAGAGTTTGAAATTTATTGGCCAAATTTAGATGATCTAATTATTACCAAAAGACTAAAATACAAAAAAAAAAAACCATTATCTTTGAGGACCACCGTTTAAGAATTAATAGCAACAACTTTAAAAAACGTATACATTGATCAATGCGTAAATGGCGAAAGGAAGTTGGAAAAACCTGTCCATCGATGGTAAAAAGTTTCAAAGTAATTACACCGCCGTCTTCTAGACTTTCACGGAAAAGACAGGCTGCGTGTAAACGATCTTGGCCGTAGTGAAAAACGAAGGAAAGAAGGCGAGTTTGCCGGTGAAACCATGAACCACCCAGAAGTGTAACACTACTCCATTAGAGAGAAGCATCCAGCACCTTACGCTGCAGAATGTCGTAAACATCCCGAACAAGCAAATCCTAGAGACGACGAAGAATGGCACGGCGGAGGGTATAAGGTGACCCGACGACCGGTCACCTGTCGTACAGCTAACGACACCTTATACCAGCGGCAATATTTTCAAAGAATCTGGCAGATGACCGACGATGGGAAATGGACCACCTCGATGATGTCCACGATGAGGAAATTACACCTGTGCGATTGATCCACCATCTGCATGAACGATGCCGTGGGAATTTGTCAAATATTCCACCGGTCTCGATAACATGCACGCATATTTTTTGCAATTTTTTAAGAATCTATATACGAGAACTTTCAATTCATATACGTTGCAAAATTATAATTAATAATTGATAGGATAGGTAAAAATAAGAGTTTCGTATTAGAGTGATTAGTAGAAAAATAATTTTATTATGTCAATATTACAATTGTAATTATAATATTTTCTTGATGCTATTTATCGTGGTGTTTACTCGCCCCAAGTCGCGAGATCGCTTTGAAGTCTCGTGTCTACCCCGAGGAACAGGGCCGCGATGAATATCGTGGAAATGGGTGGAGAACTTTGCGTTACCATTTAATCCCTTCGCACGCTGCGCGACCTATTCGTTCGTCGACGACACGATTTCGAGTGGAGGCCGGATTTTAAATCCACCACTAGGCCATTCAATCATCCCGGAACCCTTCTTTGCGTCTTTGTGCACCCCCGTGCCTGTTGTGGGACATCTTCGATCGCGGCAAGGTGAATCCTCCATTGGCGTCTAGACAGAAATTCATTAAATAAAACATCTAATTTATTCTTCGATCATTTTTATAATCTCCAGTCTTCTGAAGATTAAAAAATTCTATTTTTTCGATCACTTCTGTAAATTCGTCCTTTAGGTAATTTTCATTTTTAAAGGTCAGGTTCTTTTTTTAAATTTCACTTGAAATATGCGCCTATGCGAATAAGATGTTGCGTTACGTTATTCACTTGAGTTATTCTGAATACACGTGCGTTGAAAAGAAAGGTAGGCGTGTGTGTCTATACGAAAGGATGGACTTACACCCCTTGCTGCTGATACTCGATTTTAATCCCACGCAATCCCACGCGACATTATGCCTCCTCTTCGCTCCTTAGGAAGCCGGTGGTAATCTCCCTCTTCGTCACGTTCACGACACTTTTACCTCTCTCGACACTGATCCCCCAACAGTGGTTGAAAGTCTTTATTGCAATTTCTCTTATGCCTGATCCACCCTCTCGTAACCTCTCCATTGGTTCATGTGGGAAAGCCTGGCCAACGTTTCTCGGATTTCGTTCAAAGAATGACAGCTTCACGCGGGCTGTTCCGGTACAACATAAAAGCAGGTGACTCCGCGTGAAAATAAGTTTCTTTTTTCACAGATAGCTTTATTCTCAAAGAATATCATTCTGAACGGAACCGTGTCACGTATCGTTGACTTGTGTTACTGTGAATTTATTTATCGCTACCCTAATTTATAGAAAAATTTCAAAAATTTCAAATATTCATTTTGGGAGAAACGTTTAAAGGGAAGTATATTTTAATTTTATTACTTTTCTAACGCACCGCGTATCCGTTTTAGCAGTAAATATACTGTCGTTGGAGTATTTTCATGTGCCAATGGTATAGGTAGGGTCAGCGTGCAGAATATCCGTGGCATCTGGCGGACAGTGTGAGAAGGCCATTGTGCTTCCTGCATAGTTCGCATTTCCTCGCTACATTTTCGGACCTCTGTCCTGATCAGAAACACGATTAGTATACGCACACTTGACCTGGCCGACCTATTGTCAGGGAGGAGAGGGAAACACCATTATAACGATACCGAACACGGACACCCCATTATTCGACACCCTGGGGTACACACCGCGTACCGTTCTCTCTTGACGCTTTATTAAAGTTCTTCTAAGCAAAGGCTATTTCTATTAGAAATTTCGAGGAAATAATATGCAAACAAAAGAGAAAAATTATTGTCTTACAAATCAAAAGGGATGCTAAATGATAATTTTTCAAAAATTCAATTTGACAAATTTATAAGAGAGGATTAAAATTTGTTATATTTATGAAAGTAATTAAGAAATAAAATTTATAGTCCAAAAATAACGCACAGAAGATACACGTGGAGGGTTGAAATATTTCAAATATCTTCGATTCCACACTGTTAGCGAAATTCTTGTCGCTGGAAAGAGACATAGAGAACGAAATGGAAGAAAAAAAAGAATGAAATGGCGGTGATAATACTGAACCGAAGGGGGTTTGGTTAAGAGAAGGAGAAAGCGTGTTCGTATGTTCAGCGAGAAAGCCGGCAACGGATTGTAAATTATACTGAGGGCAGATAGAGAGAAATTCATGCTCTGATGACGCAGCGTTAACCAGTCTCCGGTCATGCGATGATCAAAGGTAACAGTAATGGTCCGTGAGAGGATATCCGCTTGTATTTCGCCTAATATACTGCTGGCTAAATGCTGACGCGATTTCGAGAGCTACTGCAGAAGATGAGCATGCGAAACGGTCGAGGGAGAAGACGTGTGTGATGAAGATACAGAGAACTATTATAAACGATAACTAAATTCTTTGTCAATTATTTTAAATATCTTCTTCTTTTTTCAATTGAATCTTCCTTCTTAATACCAGACGCAAGTGTTATCTTTTTTAAGGAAATTGTCTATAGGTATAATATTTTCTCCCTCACAAATTTTTATTTCCTATTTTTCCATTTATCGTTGACAAAGGTTTCTTTTTTAGTTCTATCATTTCTTTCTTTTTTTTTTGAGATAATACCTTTCAATTTCAAGGGTAAATGTATCCGATAGAGATAGGTAGGAGAAGGTAGGAAGGTCATAAATTGTTAGAGCAATGTGTGTACCTAACGTGCACGCACGGTCGAGCGGGAGATCGCGCTTAGCGTGGCTTTCAAAAATTTCACACGTTACCGATCTTCCGACTCAGCCACTGCTCTGCAAGTCGATCCATCATTTCGCCAGTTTACCCAGGAATCCACGAAAATTATCCGATAACGCGCCACCCGCCTCGTTTGTCTTTCGGAAGCGTCTCTCCTCTCTTCCTGATGATGGACGTCGAGTTCGATCAATTTTAACCGCGGAGAATTAAAAGCTTCACCCCTTTATTCATGATCTATTTATATTTTCTAATTAGAATGGAGTACTTATTTTTTTAATTACTCCAGATGAAACAGAAATTTTGCAAATTTTAAAATTGTCTTCTTCTATTTTTTAATTATTCAATCATGGATGAAAAGAAATACATAGATCATAGATTTCTCAAATTTTTATTCTATTTTACAACTTTGAACTTATTGCCTATAAATGATGTCGGTATCGATGCGTCCTTCGAATCCTGATGAAATATCCTGAAAATCTTGAACTGCTCGAAAACTCTCGGCTAGAGTTGCAACATGTAAGAAAAGAAAGTTTTTCTATCCGACTAGCCGAAGTTTCGTTGAACGTCCACGAGTACGGGCTCTGGAGCAGCCTGTTGCATGTCGGGGTATGGACTGACGTCATTTCCACCACCGGCTTCGTTTCGAAGAGTGGGGTTGAAAGTGACTGTGAGGGGAGGGCGTTGTCGGTGGAGTGGGGTTAAAAGGGGAATACAACGGTCGGAGGGCGTGCTTGACAAAGGCGTGGTTACCGTGTCCCCACCCAACAATAAACAACCAACTCTGACGTTAATTTGTTTGTTTTACCCTTCTACGTGCTCTTTCGTTCTTTTCAACCTACCTCGTGTTTCTCCCTCCATTGCGAATAGGCCCTACCTTTCACCTGTCTCGCTCTTTACCTGCGCGGCCCATGGAGCTCGTTTTCCAACATCCACCTTAACACTTTCGGTAAGGATGAAGCCTTAAGGCATCGTCTGAACCGTTTGAACGATGCCTTAATGCTGAGAAAATGTGGTCCAAGTCTGATCTGAAAATCGGTCAGGTATCAAGGTAAACAGAGAATCTAAGGGATGTGCAACTTTGTCACCTCCCTATATCGGGGTACTTTTTATTAGATTTTCGGATAGAAGTACTTGGATCAAATCTACAACCCTTACGATTCATCATTGAACCGAGAAAAAAAAATGAAAGCTTTTTCAAGGTGATTGCAATCCTTGGACCCTTAGGTGATACTGACCTCCCCTAATGGAACGCATTCTACGGTTCAAATTGACTGCCAAGTAACTACCCCTTTATAAATAAACCATGGATTTACATAAATTCATATTTTCATGTCACTTGTCATATGAGAGTTTCTTACTAGGATCAAGTTTCCCCTGTTTCAGGGGAAATCAATGATTAAAAATCATTTTGCTTTCTACGACAGATGAACACATTTAGCAATATTTAGAGTTTAAATTAATTGACTCGATTTTCCAAGTTTGGTTGTTGAATTGAGATCAAGTTTCTTTCCAAGTAAAACGAATCGTATGTATTGGTAGAGTAACAGCTGAACAAAGTTGTATTCGACGAGTGGTATGGTGGTTATCAGAAAGATTAATGAATGCGTATCGATATGGGTAAATAATTTTTCCCTTGAACTTTTTGTCACCAGTTTATTGACTTCGACGTGGATTCGTCGTATATCATGAATTTCGTGTTTGGCCAAGTGGCTGAAAACAATCGATGAACAGATACTTGCGATAAGTAATCAGCTTCTGCGCTTATTGATCTTGATGAAAAATGATCTCTTTGATTGTTATAACAAATGATCAACATTTCTAATTTCATATATCATGAATCAAAAATAGTTGAACAAAATTATTAAAAATTATAACACGTGTTAGTTTTTTTTTTTTTTACTTGATCTTTTAGACAAAGTACCAAGTTTTCATTATTTTCATTATTAATAATAATAACAGTTGATTATATTTTTAATCAAACTTGGTGCACCTGAGTTAGTAATATCTTAATATGAGGTACAATTAATACATCGACGCAGTTTCAATTTTCGTTGAAAAAAAAAGCACACAGTGACCTTCATTTCTCGATAAAAATAGCAAGATATCGATTAACAAATATTTTGTCATACAATATTTTTTTTTTAGACACTTTTTTACGCGTTACTTCAAATTCTACTTACGTAGGTTGCAAGTCAGAAGTTTGACTTCTTTTTATTAATAATACAGAAAACAATTGAACAATGAAAATATATTTCAGAACTTGAAAAGTAGTCCTAATAATAAAATTGAATATCCTCGTGATTCTTCGTTTCACCGAAAGCAAATGATTCGCTCGCTTCTGACGCTCTCAGGCGATATGAAAACAACGGATATCTGTCTTCCTTCACTTCTACACACGCTTCATATCACAGAATTATCATCACGCTCCATCAAGCAATTGTTAGTTACATATCCTCGCGATTAGCGAACAGTTACAGAGAGCTGTCGCAAAGTTTCCGCAGTACGCTAAGAATAACACGATCTTACTATAATCAGCAAACGCTGCTCTTCTACGAAGACACTTAATCATTTTCATATATTAATTTGTATAAGTACATGAAAGAGTTCATAGAGTTTCTTTAACCCTTGAACTCTGACTCTGGGTCAATGAGGCTCTCTCCATGGTCCGCCATCCGAGGATTATGTTGCTAATCAAATTCACGACTATGTATCGCTTCACATATCCCAACACATGCTAAAGAAGGAATCCTAATTAAGAAAACTTCATAGAAAGGGTTGGCGTGTGTCCCATAAAAGAAAAAAATTCATCATCATTATCAGATCAGATGAAAAAGTCGTGTATCATACTAGACACGACTGTCTCTAGGGTGAGAGTGTGTACGCGTGACTAATCACAGCAAGTCGAAATATTATCCCGCTTTCATGCAGATCCAGGCTGGCTATGAAATTTGTTAGAATCGATCTTAACCGAGTGGTAGAGGGATGCTCGGAAACGGGGAACGACTTGACCTTGGCTGGATTCACGCGTAGCTGAGCTAACGCAAAATCGAAACGCGTTACTTCCACGGCGTGGATCTCCTAAAGCTGGGTTCACATCGTGACTTTGCATTCTCTCACCTAGCCAACAGAGCTATCCAAACAATCTTACTCAATTTGATGTGCACCCGATGAAAACAAACATTTCGATCCTTTAAAAATGACGGGACGAATGGTAGATCTTCGAGTTGAACTCCACGAGGTTCGTGACTTCTGTGGTCAGTTATCGAAGTTAAGAATCGTATAAAGAGATTTGTGGAATACTTTCAAGAGTCATTCATAGTTCGACTTTGAAACAGTCGTTTAGAAGGGAAAATTGCTTTTGGTCTCGTGTGAAACGAGCTTGTTTCTTAGAGAGGGAATGAGATGACCTAAACGTTCGCGCCACTGACAGGGGTTGATGCAGTTATTCCTTTCCCGTCCCCTGTCTCTGGTCGCGAAGCAGCTCGCGGGGGAGGCTGTTGGGGCCCGTGACGGAAGAAAAGAGGGTGACTCACCCCCTGTGTTCCGTACTTTCGAGTGCATAGCACCCACGAGTGATCCACGCGTGACTAGATACTGTTTCGCACAAAGGGGGTTACTGGAAATTATATTTTAATATCTCTTCAAGGTTTTTCTAAAGGCCTCGGTGGAAATTTTTAAACAAACTTTCTTCTTTAACCATAAACGAATTTTTATTTCTTTTTACATATAGATAACAAATGGAAAGGGGTATCACATTCTGTTGACAGGTAGAAGATTTTTCTTATACATTTCAATTTGAAGAATCATTAAAATTGGAAGGACACCAATTTCTCGCCAGTTCCTGGAATACCAAAAATTTCTTATGTCACGAAAAATATTAAACCCTTACAAAAGATATTTTCACAAGATATGTCAGTGGTACTCAACATACAACCCTTACAGTTACAACACAAAGTTTGCTATCGATTCTCTTCTCTCCAAAACTAAAACCGATATAGAAGAACATTTGACAGTTTCTTAATCGGTGCACAGAAAATTGATATTCGTTATAAAGAAAAGAAAATAGAAAACAGGAGAAACTAAGTGTTGTAATTCAAAAGATAGAGACCGACCGCGCAAGCAGTCGGTCTCCATCTGGCGCGAACTTATCTCACGTACGGTTCTTCCCCGTAGGTTGCGCGGCCTGGCAATCGCGCCTGCGCAAACACGCGCCCTCCGATGAGCCTTCCGCACGGTTGAGCATTTCCACCATTCAGAATCGATGATGTCACGAAGCGGAGCCAGCATCCCCACTGGCCGTGTCGAGGTAGGCTGGTGGTGGCAACGTTACCCTCGCCCATTGGTCCGGCGTACTCGAGGTACCAACACGAATCGCAGGGTCGCCAGCACACGACCCAACGAGAGTCCGCAAGTCGTTGCGTGCCAGTCCGTGCGTGTGCTTTTACCTAATAATATTTCCACGGCCAGCGGTGCCCGCTAGTGCCCGCTTCTATCGTCTAGCCTCCCTTCTTTCTTCCACGCTCTCCTATCTCTCTCTCTCTTTCTTCTTCTATTTCTCTCCGCGCACCGGCTCTCTCCGTCGAGAGAGAGAGCCAAGGCAAGCAGAAGAATCACGCTGCAGAGCAGCACGTGTGCTGCGCTCGTGCGGATCGTGCGCCGGAGCCACCCCCATGGTGCGTTTACCTGCGTATTCGCGCTAAACTTGTTCGACGGGATTTTATTCTCAATCGACGACTCGGTTCGATCCGTGGCCAGTGTATGGGACACGTATTTTTTCCCCTTTTCTTTTTTTACAGAGACTCGTTGACGATTGTTCGTTAAGTTATCTTTTCAATTTCTCGGACTCTGCCGGGGTGTTCTACCACGTGACTACGCGATTGTTTAACAGTGTCCAAAGGAGAGTGACTGTAGCGACAGACGCTGTTGCCTTCGTTCCGTGAAAATTGTGAAGAAGTATCTGCGCCAGTGATCGCCGGTGGTGCTCGGTCCAGGAAACCGACCGAGGAAACGGCGGCGGCCGACGGCAGCTTTTGGTGAGTAGTCACGTGCTTCCTATGTTATTCTGGTTCTTCCACTCGGTACAACTTGGACCACGAAATTCGTGGAAGGAGATACATTTTTGGAGATTAATTAATACTTTTTTGGTTGAAAACGATGTACCTTTGTCATTTAGTGACATCTTCGCAAAGTTCTCACTTCAACTCCATTGAATATGCAGGGGGTAAAAATGAAGAAAATATGAAATTTCAACTTCTGATAGCTTGAAATAATAATATAGTATTCTAAATTATTCAAACAGTGATATAAAAGCTGAAAATGTGCCTAGAAAATGTTAATTACCAAGGTGGTATTGGTAGAAATACTATGATGAGAGTCCTCTAAAAGTTTGCTTACATTATAATTAATTTCTGCAAATTTTTCTGTAAAATCCTTCAGAAGTTAAGGTCCATTAAACAACAATTTAATGGAAATAAAGAGTTGAGATTTTGATCAATCACAGTGGAAATGGACGTATCTAGTCAGACATGCTACAATATTATTCTTCTTCTTTCCTAATAATAAAATTCGAGGCGTCGCGACGGTCATCACTGACCTTTATTTCATCGACTGATCGTGAAAGAAAATTTGAAATTCGTCGGATAGCGTGACGAGTTTGGAAGATAGTAAAGCGACGGTGCACGGAAAGGAACAACCCTTCCGGCTTGTCTTGCCGCTTAATAGTCAGTATCAGGGTGGGCGTTGAACGCGCGAGTACACGGTGTGTGCGAGGATGCAGATTGCATACGCGTACCGTATAATACAGCTTAAGGCACAATACACCCTCTATCAGAGATGAATATGATTGAACGGTACGTTGAGCTTCACTGTCTCTCTGTTTCGCTGTTTTCCCGTTTGCACGCGACGATGCACCCTCGCCATCCCGCGTTCTCTCTTCGTTCTCTCTTTCGTCATTCCCGGTGTACAGTATTATGGTGTAATTAGGCAATAGACTACATGACTCTCGCCGTGTAAAATCCGTGAAGCGAGAACGAAGCCTGGTTGAATGGCCGACGTACAAGTGTTGGACACCCCGCGGTGACATTCGACGGGCACATTGTGAACGTGCCTTGCCTCGACTCGAGAGGGTTCGTTGTTCACCGGGGCTTTTCTAGTAGTTTTCGGTTTCGACGCTTAAAAATTGTTTTGTGCTCCCGTCTACGTTCCTCTATATTGATTCTCTAGTGTGCCACTCGTTCGATCTCACTTTTTATTTTCGATGCTCTCTGAAAGAGATCCTCTTTTTTTGCTTCTTCCAGAGAATGCTTGAAATAAAATATTATTGGTTATAAAGATTGTTTGAGAGGGTAGTAGATAAATGGATCCTAGCTTTTCTTCATTCGTTCGTTAATTATTTCCTCTGATTACCAAAAATTATTGTGGTAATTAAATTTCATAAAACATTAATGGTTATTCAGTATAAATTTCTTCATAGAAATATCTGAATCAGAGAAATTTGGATTTGTTTAATAACCTTCAGAAAGGAAATTGAAATACGATTTCAAATAAATATGGTTGCTCAGGAAAATGTTCGAAGAACATAAGCAGTGATTTTCACGGTAGAACGCTGGAATTACGTTAACGCAAATCGTTTTATACGCTTGGAAAGGCTTCCATAAGATCTATAATCGTTTAACAGCCAGTTAACTATACATATTATTAACGTGTCGTTAAGCACCCGTAGATATCGTGCAAACGATATACATATGTGCATTAGCGTTGATCAATGAACCGACTCTCCATTTATTTGCATATCTAAAAACTATCATTATGAAAATAAATGATTCTCGATTTACAGTATGCTTTCGTCCTCTCTTTATTTCAAACACAGTGAACAAAGCATATTATTAAGATAAAATATGTCTCATTATCTTTGTTTAATTAGTAGAAAAATCTAGATAAACGTATAATTGAAATTTCATAAAAGGAAAGGGTAGAAAAAGATTTCATGTAGGTAAATTAAGAAACATAGATGAAATTTAATAAAATTCTACCCATTTTCATGTTCATCACTGTGGAAACTTCAATTGTACAGATATGTACGAAAATTAATTTAAATTTAATTTAAATAAATTGTGGAACAAATTTTTTTCCATGATATTAAAGATAGATATAATTTCCTAATTTGGCTACGAAACAAATTTTTTAATTACTTTGAGCTCTCGCTGATAAAAGAAATACATTTACGATGAAACCAAATGAATCTGCGTTTACGTTCAGACGCAACGAGATTATTAATTAATGCGTGTAAGCGAAATAGAATGGTAGCGGAAGTCACTGCTCGCTCGCAGTTAATTCCTGCGGGTTTGTTCGTGTATTAGAGTGTCGCTGGTGATGGTGGTGGTAGGTGCTGGTGCCATTAACAGTGTTTCGCCGGAAATGTAAAGCATAATGCGCCAGTAGCTCGTGGATATGGAACCTATTACCATCCGTCTGTATAATACCAACCTGTCCCGTTGTTTCGCGTTGTTACCGCGCGTTAAAGAACTCGCCAAAACATGCTATGTGTTTCAAATTATTGTTCTCGGTTTGAGAAACTTGCCGAGAACATTGTCTTTCAAACTTCGTTTCTTCGTTTCTTAATTAGGAAATTCAATTTACACCCCACTCAAAAATCATAGAATACCTGTTAAAATTTTTCATAGAAGCCAAAAAAGAAATATAATTAGAGTTTCTACTATTTCTAATTTTAAATTATATTAAATTTACGATAGCTAGAGGGGTTTGTCTCCATAAAGTGTCGGATTAAAAATGTTGCATTAAGGGAGGATTATCGTTGGATCTTTGTAAATCCTAGTTTCGCTTTTTGCGCTTAATAGCGCTGTGACGTAATGCAAATCGACGAAGATAAATAGAGCGAGTCGGAGTTGAGTAAATTGACAGCTTGTTGGCGTCTTGTAAACACAAGCCAGCGAGATCTTGTTTGCGCTCAGTCGCGCATAATCCGAGGTAATCCTCTTGCACAATGTGCGAGCGTGATGTACTTTTCTCCCTTTTCGTGTCATTTTCTTTCCTTTCTCCTCGTATTTTCGTCTCTCTTATCCCAGAAATTTGTTCTCTTTAAAATCACCTTCGGTACCATCGTGTACTTTAACTCTCGAATAGCAGAGTCTGGGTCAATCGAGACCCAAACTTACAAAATATAAGGATATTAAAACTGAGGTCCTCTTCATGGTCCTCCGTCCAAGGGTTAGTCCTCGGAAGACCACAAAACTGCTTAGCACTTGGAATAAAATAATTATTTTATTTTATTAAAAAATAAATTCGTGACAAATATAAATGGTAGAAAGGTGAGGAGGAACGCGAAGCCGTGAACGTCATTCCTTTATTTTTCGAACTCGCCTGTACGAGTATCATGAGCCGAGACAAAAGATAAAGAAACGCGAGAGTAACGATCTAATTAGGACTTAATTAATCCTAAAATCGTGATCTCTTTTTGTTGTTTTTTATACGCGTGTCGAAGCGTGGAGGACAGAGGGTGGTGTCTCAATGGGACGTGAGAATGAAACGGATCATCAGTATACCGGAAGCTTCCTTATTCAGAACAATTGTAAAAAGCGTACAAGGTGAATTGATGATTTAACACCGGTTATCGTGAATAAGGGAAGTATCAAAGAGTCGTTAATATGAAAACAACTGCAAACATCACGCTTATAGAGAAGTATCTTTATGGGGGTTGAAAAATAACATTTAATGCATCCTTATTGTCAGAGAATCAAAGGTCCTTCGTAAAACGACTCTGTATCTATAGAATGCAACATTCTTTTAGGGAAAAATGGTTTGGAAAAATGATACACTGTGTTTATTCAGACTAATTTTACTTTGATTCATTGTTTGCTATAATTAGCAACCACCCATTCCTTATTAAAGATATTAACAAAAACTTTGTATAGTAATTTTCATCAAGCTTTAGGCTTCAAATTGGTATGAAATTATAAAACCTACTACTTTTGAATGTTGTTTCCAAAATGTTTAATCAAAACATCAGAGAAAACATGAAAACCCTGCGATGTGATGTCGTACCTTTGTACTTTGTAGAGGTGATAATTAAATGCTCGATGCAATAGGTTGTAAATCGTAGACGTTTGCAAAGGGGTGCGAACAGGAAGTTGGTATGGCAATTTCGTTCGGTGATTCGTCGAGATAGAACGAGATACAGAGTGTATATCGGTATCGATTCGTTTGTAACGCTAATTATCGCTGCACAGCCACACACACACACACACCACTTCCAACCCTTGGCATTTCTCTTTCTCGCTTGAATTCCGCCACGCTGACAGGTTTACAGGGCGTGTTACAAGCGTGTAAGTAGTTTACATGGTGACACGGTGCAACAGCCGCGAAAGGGTAATTACGACACTCGAGCCGCTTGTGAGCGTCGCGACGCTGAGAACGAGAGACCACCTCTCTGTGGTGTATCTAAGCCTTTTAAAAAGGGATTTCGCGTCCTTAAGCTCTATTTCTTTCTCGCTCGTAGGCTGAAGCAATGTCGATTCTTTTGCTCGACAGATCGTACCTTTTCTACAGCCGGGACTCGTCACGATGGCGCCAATTAGAACGCAGGGACACCTTTTCAATGTTGCTGGGGTGCATTGTGCCGCGATAATTATGATGCTTCTTCTCATTCAACTCAATGAACGTCTATTAATTAGGCGTGACTGTAATATTGTCTCGAGTTGAAACGTGCTACCGTGCTCTCTTCGCAAAAGTAATGAGATTGATTTCTTTCTTCCTCCCCCCCCCTGTTTTTTTTATTTCAGACTTTTATACCGTGGCGGTTACGTTGTGGAAAAGGAAGCAAACTTGTGGTTTCTTTTTGTAACATTGTTTATTACCACACGTAACACGTTGTACTGAACAACTTTGGTATTTTACCATAAATTAGATCACACTTGCGTGATCTGATATGCAAATGAACAGGTATTTACACAGGTGAAGATGATACGTACCCAAACTGATGCACGATCAAAGAATAATTAAGAAATGCCTTCCTATCGGCGCAGAGAATATTCCTCAGATTGTATTAAAAACTGCGGAAGGTGATAGGTGGAATATATATTGTAGCTGTGAATTTTGGTGTTACAGTGACCGGAAGTGCCTAAAAGCCCGAAGATTCTGCCGTCGCAGCAACTGGGCGCTGCGGTCGCTCCATGGCCGGGCGCCACCGGCCTCCTAGCATCTGTCACCGCTGACGATATGGCACACAAAGGTATGTTTATTATCAATGCCAATCAAGTATATTTCAAGTCGAATTTTAAAGAATTTGGAAAAAAATGATACTTGAACATAGAAGGGGTAGATGCGAATACTTTATAAGTACAATAAGAAATATGAAAGGTACACCCCCGCTTATGGTGTATTCCAGATGGACAAAGCTATTTCTTCAGCTTGCATATTTATTTAATAACAATCGTACAAATGAAAACACGTACGCGATTGAAATTGATCGCAAAGTTGGTGTTCAGATCCGTGAAGTCGAATCGAAACGTCCGAGAATCGAGATGGGGACGCGTTCAGTTGATGGCTAAAGCGTTTAACCCCATTAGTCCTGAATGGAACTTCACTCGTCCCTCTTTCTCCTTGTCTTTCCAAGTTTCTCTCCGTGTTCTCTTGTCGTCCGTTCTCGCTCTCTCTGCAGCTCTCTTAACACGAGGGTCCAAAGAGGATGAACAGACGACGTCTCAAGGCTTTCTAAAGCCGGCAACTCCTGCCTGAAACTGGCTGCTCACTTCACGTATTGATTTCCATTCTCTTACGCCTTCCAACACTCTCACCCCTTTTCCGCGGCTTCTATTACCCTCCTACCGACAATCATCTTCCTTGCTTGATAAGACGAAACTGACGACGAATCTGTCATCGATGTCCTGGCTGAACCGAATACTTTTGGAAAGTGTCCAATTTCGAAATCTAGCGTTAGATAATTATCTTTAGATAATTGGGTGGCCAATTTTAATTGGAACATTTTTCGAATGGAGTATCCCCTATAAGATCGACATTTTCCATAAGTTTCTTCCAAGGAACAGAAAGAATGAAAGTTCGAATGTAAAATCGGCGGGTTAAATGGCCGATAGAGATTAAATCATTGAAGAATCTACAAGTGAGCGATCAAGAATCTGCACGATGCTCGAAAATCCACCAGTTATCTGACCGAGTGGGGTTCAGTGGGGTGTGTAGCGTTAAGTTGGCGTTAGCTGATCGAATCGCTTGGATGGGATCGATCGTACGTACAAATCGTATTTCCGCTTTCCTCCTCGTCGCAGGAACAAACCAACTTTTCTTTACCTACGCGTTAGAAATTTTCATTCAGAATTTCGAAGTTTAGACAGTGAATCGTCTAAGGAAGCATCTATCTGATTACATTTAATAAAGTTTTTCGAATGATCCGCGACCACCTAGCCACATTAACGAACTTCCAGACTAACGACGAGCACTTGGTTGTAATTTCTCCCGAGAGTTTCGAAACTTTGACAAGTCCTCGCGTAGTTCACGAAACCGAGACTCCATAAATTCTGTCATTAATTTGCTAACGGATCGTAAGGATAGCGTTTCTGCCAGCAAACTGTCAGCAATTTTTAAAAGAGAAAGAATTTTTAGAGGAACGGTTAAATACAAAGGGGCTCTCTCCATGGTCCGTCGTACGATAGTTAAATGAAAAATAAAATCAACCTTTGCCATCGATTAGAAAAATTATAAAAGATCGTTTCTACTATGATATCAAAGTGACATCTGTAAAATCGCAAATGTCTCTTTTCACGCGATGCAAAACTGCCGGAAGTTTGGGGAATCGTTGAAGCCAGAAACGTTGCCGCGAACAGTCGACCGTCAACGTGGCGTTTCGTCGACGAATCGACCCCCTGGCAACCCCTCTAGACAAAGCTGGTAAGGGATGACGATGGTGGCAGTTAAAGAGGGAGGATGAGAGACGAAATAAGAATAAGAAGAGCTGTAACCAGGAATGGGAAACGAGCGATGAAGGTGAAAAAAAGAAGAGGAAGAAGAAGAAGAGCGATAGCTGGGGGTTGCTCGAAGCATTGATCGTTTCTGAATTCCGAATAGATGGTAACTGTTCAGTAGTTGCTGGATATACATGAACGTTTTGTATGTACGTGTTTGTTGGATAGAAAAGGAAATACAAGAAAGATGGTGGATGGCTGTTTAAAATGCCTGAGAACGCTTCTTTGATCCGTCAGCCATATCTCCTTGGACGTTTTCAAGAGATACGAGACTTTACCCTTCTTTCCTCCTCCCTTTTTTTCTTCTCGTCTTGTCATTCAATTAATTCGTAACTGCCTCCCCCCACTGTCGTCCATAAAAATGCCAACACCCTTTGCTTGTCTTTTACACCGAGAGAACGAAAGGGGTGGCGAAGGTGAAATTCTACGGAGACCATTACAAAGGTGGCTCCCTTTTCCCTTCTTTCTATTACTTCTGCCACTTCTTCGCTGTTTTCTCTTCTTCCTTTTCCGTTGAACAGTCAAGAGAGAGGCCCGGCTCGCAAAGATGCAAGCGCATTTGCCCCCTGAACAAAGTTGCTGCACTCTCGTTTCTTACTCCAAGAGGTTGTTCTTTTTTAACTTCCTCGTGTTTCTTTGTACTCTCTGTTGCGATTTTATGAAATTCTTTTTCTTCTTTCAGTTAAATAATCAGAGTTCAGGGTTGATTGTTAGATTAGACAGCATAATTAATTTCAAAATTATGATGGATAAATAGTAGTAAATTTTTATTCTATTTTACTTGTTTGGAGAACTTAAATTTTGCTTTTATTTTTGTTATTTCTTAAAAGTTTAACTCATGATTGATTACAAAGATTTTAAAAGATTAATCAATATTAGTAAGAATTTCGAAAAGTGACTATTGAAGGGCTGTAGAAGGAATAATCGAAGAGAATTGTTCGTCTTGCATCAAGTGTATTCGACTGTAAAATTCCCTGTTCAAACAGAAACGGGTGGCTGGCACATTTCGGCGTGGTCCAGCTCGAAAAAGATGGAAGCTCGACGAAGGGTAGTTGGAAGAAATTCTTGGTCCGATACAGAGGCACAACACGGAGAAAATTCAACGTGTACCCAGCACACGTACGAAATCGCTCGACAGATAGGTACTCGTAAAATCTACGAGTCTGCTTTCGTTCTGTCGAAACGAGAACTACACGCTCTTCCCATGAGTACCATTTTCAAATGTTCACTTTTTCTTACAATAAAAAACTTTCATGAGTCACCTATTCATTTCAAGAATTAAGAAAATCTGACTTTACAAAAATTCTTACAACAAGAAAACATCAAGTATTTGGAACAACCCTTAAATTGTTGAATTCTTCAAGAAATGGTACTTTCGATAAAGTACTTCGGTAGCTCGAAACTTAAAGAGCAAGACATATCCTGAAATCTGTCCCACAGCGATATTTTTATTTTGCGATTGTTAGAGAAAGAGAAGGAAAAGTGAAAATGGAAATGAAGAGAGCATTAACGTGGAAGCTCATTAACGCGATGAAAGAAAAGAACGAGTGGCCCGACGATCCTCGCCATTGTCAGGATTCGAAGCTATTGCGATGAGAATTTCATGGATTCTCCCCACGAATAATGTCCCGATCGTTTCACTGATTTCGCGTTGAAAAAATGAATCAGAGGGGGACCAGAAGACGTTCAACATTTCTAAATGGCATCCATCTAATTATTTTGCCAAATATTAAAATATTATTAGATCCATTTCCTTTTACATAAACTTCGGCTGAATTTGTATTTTTTATCAAAGCGTTATTTCCCTTTAAAAGTAAGGGATGTTAAAAGGGGTAGGATAGTTCGAAAGCTGCTGTCTCGTCTCGTCTCGTCGATTAAAGCTCGCTCTGTCGCGAACCAGCATCCACTATGAACAAAAGGAAGAGGAAAACACCACGTCGAGGATGGTGTCGTCGTGACGGTAGCTTTTCACACCGTCGCTATTTTCTCGACGCCCATCCTCCTTCCGTAAGGGCGCGGTTTACGTCACACGTTTTTGTCCCTGCTGCACGGTTAGAATAGCGGCTAGAACGACGCCTGCCGTTCGTATCAACGAAACGACGGTTTTGCAAACTACACCGGAATTGAACGTTTTCAACGTCCCCTTGAATCATTAGTCAATTTATCAGGTTCATTTTTTCGAAATTTATTTACATTCTTGGGGATGTAATTTTAAGGAAGCATTAAATAAAAAAGGACATCTTTAATAGAATTCAGAGAAGGGGATGGAGAAAAAGGAAAAAAAAAAACGACTAATACAGTGGTGAATAAATATTTTGACAAACCGCTTCAGAGGGGGCGATAGTTTTGCTAGCCATGGGTACGTCGACAACTGTCGGCCTAATTTTCCCCTAAACATTTCCGGAGATTACATCGGATTCTCGTATTTATACTTACCCCGTGGATGTCGGATTTGTTCCTTCGGCTAAGAACCGTGTAGTTCTTGAATCTTTTCAATGGACTTACCTTTTTTTTCTCTATGTTCGAATATTCTATTATTGGGCTATTTTCGTGTTTAATCTCCGCGTGTAAAATACCGAATATCAGATTATCAAATAAATTATTCAAGGTAATAAAAAAATAATAGAAAGGAAAACGTTCCGAGGAGATCGTCGCTAGAAAGAAATCCTCGTTAAACGGTTTACTGGAATTTGGTAAATTATTTCTCCCCCCCGTTCTTTTAAAAGAACATTTATATTTGTTCATTCATTCGTGCTTGAAGCGTTGCTCGAAGGAAGAACAAGGAAGGAAAGAAGAAAACTGTTGAAGTGCAATTTCTGTTCGTCGCTTGTTTTTCCCGGAGGAAAAAAGGAAATGGTCTGACTGCGTGTAAAACAGAAGGAAAATTGCGTACAGATCGTTAGCAAATGCGACTTAACAGCACGATAATGATGCCGTCGTTCGGCGAACATCTACGAGATTTCCATTTGATTATTTACCTCTGCTTATATACTGCACAGACCAAGTGATTGCTTTAATAATTTAAAAATTTTGCAGTACGGAATATGAAGACGAAACAAGGACATTTCTATGCTAATTGAAGGAAAATTAATAAATTAACAGAGATGGTAACAGAAAAAGTGAAGAACTTTTGAAAATAAAGGATCTAAATTATCTAGTATTTTAATTGAAATGAATTTGACACAATTTATTATTTGCAATCACATCTTTTATTTTACATACATATAAAACAAGTTTAGCTCCGTTCAACGTAGTT